TTTCCAATGTATGTTAGAATCAGTTGATAATGTTTCACCTAAAGTAATTTTTACAGACGGTGATCCTGCAGTGATTGCTGCTATTCATGTTATCTATCCTCAAACACAACATTTGTTATGTATTTATCATATTGTTGAGAATGTTAAAAAGAAGGCTAAGTCAAAATTACATGGTGATTCAGTAAAGAAGTTTGTTGAAGATTTTTATCATATGCGAAACAGCTATAGCCAAGAAGAATTTGAGTTAAGATATCAAAATATGTTAATAAGATATGAACCTTGTCGTTCTTATCTTAAAAATAAGCTTTATCCTAATCGGGCTGCTTGGGCAAGATATTCAATTACAAAGATTTTTACAGCAGGAGTTGAATCTACTCAATGTGTAGAGTCTATTAATGGGGTTCTGAAAAAACATGTTGATCGTGGTACTTTGTTAAAGGAATTAGTGATAGCAATTGAATGTGAATTAGAAAAAGAAGTTTCATATACTCGTATTAAAGATTATTATGGATCAAATCCATCTGTTGGACTTCCATCAACCTATAACAGTATATTCAAGGAGATTGATAATGTGTTAAAAGTTAATTTAGCTCCTATTCCTTTATCTCTTCAAAGAGCACAAATGAAACAAGCACTGCTATATCAAGAAATGATGATTTCTATTAATCAAGTAAGTTTATTGAGAACTATTAAGGTTAGTTAGGGTTAGGGTTAGGTTAGGGTTTGTTAGGATTAGGGTTAGGGTTAGTTAGGTTAGGGTTTGTCAAGGTTAGGGTCAGGGTTAGTTAAGGTAGGATTATTTTGGTTAGTTTACGAGCCTTTATGCTAATTATACAGAGGAACTAACTCTTTCGTTATTTTTTTATTTTTAGGCTAAAGAATCGAATAATGCACCTGATGGTATAATTGAACAATTATATGATGTACCACAAATTCGTTTAAAAGAATTACTATCTGGCATACTTTCCGATGATATTCAAGAACTTATGGAAGTATCTAGCATAGTACCTGCTTCAGATAAGCCTTTTAGACCACACTATGTCATTATTTTGAAAGATTCATCATCACTTTGTACTTGTATGTATATTATAAATCAGGGAATGCTATGTAGATACCAGTATTGAATTTTAATCCAATCAGAAAAAGCAGTATTTCATTTATCTCTTATTTATGGTCGTTGGTTTGAATCAATTCCATCAGAAGCATCAAATATTACAATTGTCAAAGGAAAAACAAGTAACACAGCTACACCTTTACATTATATTAATCAAATTAGACTTAACAATGTTTATACACCAGCTGCAAGAGAACGTGTTAATAAAAAAGTTCAATATGGGAATACAATGTCTTTGGCTAAAACAAGTATTCAAATAGCTGTAGCAGAAAGTGCTACTGCAGAATTGATTGGAATTTTGATGCAATTTATTATGAAGTATCGTAACAATACAGGTTTAGGCATTGAAGAAGTTTATCAGTTTAGTTCATTACAAAACAATGTATTGCAAGAGTCACTTATTAATACTGAAATTTGCAATAATACACAACAGCCTTTGGATAATCTCCAGATATCTAATCCAGAATACCACAAGGCAAAAGGGCGCCCTCCTAAGCGTTATAAGTCATCAGTACAGTAGAAGATAATAATCAAACTAGTATGGCAAAATCAAATGAAGGTGGTCTTAAAACTTGTAGTTATTGTTTAGGTAGAGGACATAATATTCGTGGGTGTGCTAAACATAAAGCCGATAAAGAAAATGTTAATCAGCATAATAATATTAATGGTTAGAAGCATTGTAGCAAAACTAGAATTTTAATTATTTGCATTTATATCTTAGAGTAAAACAGTATATAAATTATTAGCATTAGAATTGTATTTATTGTATTATTGTATAACGATAAATTATAAATTTACATTAACAATTGCTACAAACATTTAAGTGAGAATCACGTGTTAACATTATCATGTGACACTGGCGGTGAACGCCTGAGGCGATAAATAGCAAACTTGATATTTAAATAATATTTAAGATTATATGTATTATTGTATTTAATTTAAAATTACAGTGACACCTCTATAAGTGCATCCTCTATAAGTGCACGCACTATATAAATTCTCTTTAAGTACACAGTGGATCTGATCCCAACTTATAAGAACTCTTAATATTTTACTCTCTATAAATGCACACCCTCTCTAAGTGCACATTCTACTATTTTTTTACTATGGTCTCAAGGGGGTACACTTAGAGAGGTGTTACTGTACTTATATTTAAACTTTTTCAAAATTTTACAATTAGTTTTACTAAAATTTTACAATAATTTTATTATAATTTTAGAAGATTTTAGCAGTTTTAAGTTTTAACAGGATCCCGAACATTACATATACAACTCAGTTGCAACTTTTTCACAGATTAACCTAAATTTCACAAAAAAAAAATCAGTTTTTTGCAATTATTTTGGCATCCAGTGGTCCAGTTTATACAAACTTTTTTTTGTTTTGTAGCTCTCATCGAGCTCTACAAAATAAAAAATTCTGCATCATTGGATACCAAAATAATCGCAAAAAATGGAAAATAAAAAAAGAGCAAATTGGGTTTTTTTTGGCAAAAAGTCAGTTGTGAGTTCTATAAGAGATGTCTGAAGTCCTGTTTTAACTAATAAGTTTCATTAAGTTTTACTTTTCTTTAAAGTTTTACCAATTTTTTTAATAAAATTTTATTATTTTGATATTTTATTAACTTGTCAAAATCTTTTAGTTTCTTTAGTAACTTTAATTTAATTTATATTATATGGAATTTCTTTAATAAAAAATATTTAGAATTTTAATCCAATTACTTAATTTATTAAATAATATGCAAATTTTTAATTTATATTAAATAAAAAATTATTTTTATATTATATTTTAGTAAATATTAAAGTTAAAAAATAAAATTATTATTATTAATTACCGATTCAAATAAGATTAGCACTATCATAAAATTTGATAAATGTATAATACAATACAATATAAACTCTTTTTTTTTATAATAATATATGACTTTTTTTAGCTTATTATATTTTTTTGACTTTTTTTATATATATAGTATAAATTTTACAAAATACTAATCAGATTTCACAATTTTAATATTTACAATATTAAAAAAAATGCAAAATAAAGTGATATTTGATATATATGTAAGGATGTTAAGTAGTTTAATCTGAACTGAGTTTAAGTTTAAATCATTTTGATTTAACTAAAACTAGTTAAAACCAATTATTTTACTAGTTTAAAAACTAAGGCAAAATTAAAAGATCTTGATAGATTCCACTTACAAATATGACACATAATTATCTGGTAATACAAGCAATAAAGTATACTAAGTGAATAATCAGTATGGCAAAGTTTACAGTTAATTCAATAAAAACCCACCTGAATTCAAAAAAAGTTTGGAAATCTCTTTACCTTAAAAGTTGATTTGCAGCAATATTAATTGAAGAAGACTTTATAAAAGATGATAAGGATAATAATTTATATTAAAGAATTATTGTTTAATATTGGGATATTTATTTATTAAAGCATTATAAAATATTATAATTTATAGCTTCAAAATATTAAGTTATATACAAATTGTAATTTATGCAACTCTTGATTAGAAAAATGATAAACTACTTTTATACTTTTAGTTAAATCTAGTTTAATTGCAAGTTTAAAATTAAATAATCCATTTAAGATAAACTACTATTATGCTTTTAGTTAAATCTGGTTAAAACTAATTAAAACTAGTTTGACCATTAAAATTACTAGTTTGAAATTTAAAATAAACTAGATAAACCATTTAATATCCCTACATATATGTGATATAAACTCTTTTTTCCCAATAACAAATATATATTTATTTTAACTTATTTTATTTTCTTGAATTTTTATACATATATTTTATAATTTTTAAAAGACATCATTAGGTTTTTGAAACTATAGAGTTTAGTGAGGTATTTCTTGCCAATTATTTGTATAATATAAGTATAAAATTTGAAGTTTATACAATGTAAATTCCTTTTTTTTTTAATAATAACTATACATTTTTTTTTTAATTTATTCTTTTCTTTAAATTTTTTTGCATATATAACTTGCTTTTTACAAATTATAAAAGAAATTTTACAATTTTAGTATTTACTTATTTTTTGCTAACCAGGTGCAAAATTTTAATATAAAAATAATACCAATTTTATTTGGATCACTAATTAAATTTCTTTTATTAAAATAAATTCAATAGTATAAATTTTATTAAATTTAAATTATTATTAATTAGCTAAAATAGGAATATATAAATTAATAAGCTTATTTTAAACATTTATATATAAATTGAATTATTTGAATTCTATTAAATTAAAAAATATTATTTATTAATAAAAATTTCTTTTTTCTGACTTCTAGAGTTCTAGTTTTATACAGATTAAAATTACTTAAATAAAATATTAATTAACTATTGATAAGTTATTAATTACCAATTGGCTATCTAATTAATAATCTATTAGCAGTTATAATATAATCCATTATTAACAGAATAGCTGATTATAACTAATTTAAAGTTTATAATAAATTTTGTTATAATTGTAAAATTGTCAATAGATTACCAATTAGATTGGTAAATGGTAACTGATATTAATAGTTAATTAATACTTTATTTAAGTAATTTTAACCCTGTATTAGAAAATTAAAAAAACTGATTTTTTTAATAAATAAAAATAATTTTATTAGTTGCAAATTAATGGAATTATATAAAATTGGAATTATTAAAAATGTAATTTTTTTTGACAATTTTAAACAAAGTATTTTTCATTTTAAACTAAAGATTTAACTTGCAAGATTATAAAATACTAGTAACTGAAGTTTATTTATATTTACAAAAATCCAAAAAGAAGTAAAATTAAAATTTTTTTTTAAAAAAAAAAGTTATGAGAATAAACTAAAATCATGAATATTTAAAAAATAAAATGATGAAAGTTAAAATTAATATATGTTACCGTATAAATCAATTTTATTGAAACTTGAACATTTTAAAGATATAATATATATCCTGCAAGTTAAAATACAAAGTTTGAACATGCATATAACATGTGTCCAGTATACATCGATTAATAATTAAAATTATATGGGGAAACGGGTTTTTTCTAATTTAGGCAATAAACTAAATTACAAAAAGTAAAAATTATAATATTATACTTCTATGCAATTTGACGACTACGCGATTATATACTTCTATACAATTTGAGAGACTGGTGGAGTATTATTATTTTCAATCTGATTGTTTTCATCATTTAACTCATTTTCAGCCTTTTCAAACCTTCTTCTAATCCAAACAGGTAATAGAACAGCAAAGGCAATTAATATTAAAGCAAAAACATTAGTAAATGAGAATATTTTAAAATCGGAAGCATTTGTTAAATGTTCGATAGTTAAACCAGCTTGTACATGAATTAAAGAAGGTGCAGCAACACCAAAAAATGTTCCAATAAAAAATACTTTTAAAGGAACACCAACGTGTGGAGCTGCTATATTAGCAAACCAATTAGGCGGAAATGGGGATAAACGAAGTACAATCATATAATTAAATAAATTTTGCGAATGCGATCGTAATTTTTCTGCCCATCTATCTAATTTTTCAGAGAATTTGTCTTTTACAAACGATTTTCCAAATTTATGAGATAATAAATAACAGTTGGTTGCACCAATTGCTGAACACTAAAAAAAAAGGGAAAAAAATTTTATTAGAGAATGAAGCATAACAAATTTGTTAAGTAAAGTGCATGAAATGGTACATACAAGGCAAACTAAGAAGAGGGCTACAACAAGATTAAACAAAGCACCACCCAATATCGATAACCACATACTGCCAGGTATAGAAAATGTCTGTAAACTTATAAAAAAATGAATATCAAATTTAATATAAACAAAAAAAATAATTCTCGCACTTTTAACTACTTACTAGATATATACAATCACAAAAACGGTCATTACACTATAATAATATTGGTCCATATATTGTGCTAATAATTTGTTCAATAATTGCAAATCTTCTATTCCACTTGGTAAACGTACCGATCGTTTTTGCTCTCTTAAATTAATTAGAAAATTCAAATTTAAATTAAAATCTTTTTTTTTAAAATATGGGATCAAGAAAAAAAAAAAATGGAATCAAAATATTTACTCGTTTAATGGTGGTAAACATATTTTCAGTATTAGATAAACTATGAAAGTAGATACTAAAAATATTAACAATAATCGAAGGATTGCTTTCAATGAGTTCCATTTTTTATCATTATTGTAAAATAGTAATCGATATTTAAAATCTAATAATTTTGCCGTGGAAGTTGGTATTACAACTGAATTGTATGGTTGAGAACCATTATTATTTCCTAATAGCGATGTTACTTCTGTCATTATTATTAATGTATAATTTTATAATTTTGATATTTTTATTAGTTTTTATATATAAAAAAAATTTAAATAAAAGAAAAGAGAAAAGTTTTTGTATTTTTTTTTTTAAAAAAAAAAAAAATATTTAAATTTATGACACACGGAGAATGTGCGATTATAATAATATTATGACATTCTGCACAAATTTTTTTTTTTACAATATGAAAATTATAAATAAATAAATATTAATGTGGGAAAGTGATATACTTGATTAAGTCACGAGCTTAGTATTAATTGAAACTTTATGAGTTTCTGAAGCCAATTACCTTTTTTAACATTCTAGCATGCTCATAAATCCTAATCCTATTAATCTTAGTAATTTTATATAAAGGATATAAATGGTATCAATGGTATCTCAAAATGCCAAACATGCTAAAGTGAGTCATTATATAATCATCAGATTAAAAATGGGGTTTACCATTATTATAATGATTATAATGATTACTAAAAATTATAGATTTATAATTTCGGCAAGTAAATAAGCCGAAGCCGAATTCATCCTTTCAATTCCTGTAACCAATCAAATTTCCATCAGTAAATCAAACGGGATTTTTATTATCCAAAAATAAATTAGATTGAGGCCCTTTAATGGTTAGGTGGTTTTTAAATTTTAAGATGACGATTTATTTGAAAAAAATAGTTTTTTCTTCTACGTGATGTCATTATTCCAAGTCATAAGTATCGTAAAAATAAAATTAGAGATAATTTGATAGTAAATTAGTATATGCGAAATTTTACCTCCTAATTTATTCAACTAATAAAATAAAGTTTTTCAATTTACAATACATTCAAATCTAAATTTTAGTTGTATTTCCATTTTTCTCTGAAGGTGTTAATGAAAAAAATGACCTTTTTTGCAGTTGTCCATAATATTTCACCCGTTTTCCATTCATTAATTATATATTATAATAATTAGGAAATAGGTTTTCATACTTCGTGTATGATAAACAATCTGAAGTGTATTATTTTCTTATTTTATAAGAAATTATAGTATAAAAACAAAATAAAACCCAGTTTTGTAATCAATAATAAATCCGTGCAATAATCAAATTTCATATATCCCTTATATCATTATATTGCAATTTCTCAACTGGTGCTATTTTTACATCTAATTTTCTGTATTTTCTAACAGTTGGATAAGTGAGAGGTACCTTAATTTACTGTGAAAATAGGAAAATACCAGAAAAAAAAATTTAAAAATTGATTAATACATCACTTATATATTATATATATCTCAATATCTTAATCATACTTATCTAAAAAAACATATTTATATTATTGTAAAGCAATTTATTATTACTGGTAAGTGATTCACAATAAGTTAATGCAGAAAAGCAAATTCAAATACAATTCTTTATCTGTTATTACCATTATTTCTATAATATCTATATATATATATATGCAAATAATTAAAAGTATAATAAAAAACTTTAATAATATTAAGTTATATATAAAAGTCAAAGTTTACAATTATTATTAACTTGTATTATTATTATTTGAAAATGCAATATATAATATGATATATATTGGGATGGTAAAAGAGTTGACAGACACATTAGGAAATTTATAGATAATATATGTGAGTCTGTACTAGAGGTAGCATGGTCTTTTAATCGTGCATACAGAACAATTTTTCAAGACACAACATGTGTGATAGAAGAAAAAGTCACGTGGGCATTACTTAAAAAAAACACAGGTCTCAATTGTACAACATCAACAATAAATGACAGATTTATTAAGCACTTAAAACTGACAAATAATCTGCTACCAACTTTAGAGATTATGAAAGAAAGGAGATACAATTTATATGGAGATGTAAAATGCAGAATGTGTCTTGAAGAAAATGAAGACAATGATCACATAATCTATTGTCAGCAACTTAGAGATAAATGGTTAATGGTGGCGAACAACACTATGCATAAATGTGACCAAATGCTTAAAGACTTGCTTTCACAAGAGAAATATCTCCAACTAAACCAAGAGGATACACAACAATTACTTTTGTGGAATAGAAATTTTTTTGGCCATACAATAGATTCTAATCAAGAGTTACCTATTCCCTTCATACATTTAATGCTAAAGAATTTTTTTCCTAAAGAAAAATATAGAGAAATCAAGCTTATTGTTAAGTCAGAAAAAGCTACACTAACAATTACTACTTTTTTTTTAGAAATATTTGTTAATGAATTTTATAAAATCATTTGACAACCACGCTGCAACTTAATAACAGAATGGGAACGCACAAAAGGAATCAAGAAGTAAGACTTAAGGAAGAAAATACCAGCACATTAATATATTACATATGAATGAACTCTAACTCAACAAATAGAAGGTGATACTTATAACTTAAAGGGAAGGAAAATTTTTAAACATAATGAACAATGGTCAATTGCTCTTGGAAAAACTAGACAATATATAGACCAACTTATCAGAAAAGGAAATAGGGTGATTTGGAAGGTATATAATAATACTAAGATGTACAAATACAAATATAATTTTTTCTTTTTGTTTAGAGGATAGTGAAAGCACATACTGAAGCCATATGATAATAATGATCCTATATAATCTGATAGCTACTATGGGAGGATATAGGTGAATTTTATATTGGTGATGGTAGGGCACAGGAGCAATCTATAGGATGGGAAACTGGTTCAGAGTTTTAATAGATTAGTTATACACTTAGCAGACACTCCTGTACTTTCATATAACTAATAAACTCATGAATTGCACTACCTTGCAAAAAAAAAAAAAAAAAAAAGAGATTGAAGGAGAAATAAAATGGAGTAAANCTTTTCAAATATTTATTTTGTTATATTATATTTATAGACTGTTATTAACTTTCTCTCTGAATAAAGATTATCTAGGATAAGTGATTCACTCATGATGATTAGCTAAATTTTTTTAAATATATAATAAATATACTTATATTAATTTTTAGATTTATTGATTGAAAAAAATAAACTCATACTATCCAAAATACTAAATTTTTTGATAGGGATAACAAAAAAAAAATGAGTTACAACAATAAAAAAAAGAAAATATGTAAATGAAAAAAGAAAAAAAGAATAAAGGTAAATGAAAAAAATAGGAAGAGTGAAAGGAAATAAAGAAATAAAAGAGATTGAAGGAGAAATAAAATGGAGTAAAGGAGAGTAAAAGAAATGAAAGAAATAAAAAAGATCAAATAGACACTAGTCGAAATAGTCCAATTCGGCCAGATTTCATATAGGCAAATTTGGCCCGAATTATGGCTGAAATTTGGCCGAAGTTAGACGAATCTCTTAACCAAAAGTTTTTATCAAGTGTTACCATTCAGACTGCCACTCGTCTAAATTTTAACTAAACTTCAGTAGATTTTGATCTACCATTCGCATGACTTTCAGAATAAAAAATCGTATAACTTTCAGATAACATTCATTATAACGAATACTTAACATTCGGTCAGCTTTTAAACGCAATAAATTGTTATTTATTTAATAAAATATTTAATACTATATATTTAATACTAATTTATACTAATTATTATAATGTTCAATTTATATGCTACGCTAATAATAATATATTATAAGAATGTCCTATTTATATAATATAACACCTTCAAGACGACTTTCATCATCAACTTCATTCACAATGCTAATTTTTTGATACAATAAACAAATAAAATAAAGGTTAAAGTAAAATTATACTGAAATAACATTGAACGTTAAATTTTAGCGAAATAATATCAAATGTATATAATAATTACCAACACTCCATTAAAACGTGTCAGCATCATCATACATATAGTCATCATATATACTCTCGTATCCTATATCAGAATCATATACGACATTACCATTTTCTGGTTCTACACACGTCCATTGTGGTGCATCGTTTGGAGGTTGGACGTCAAAATTTTGCAACATATCGTCATAATTTCTACATCTGGTTAGTTGTGCGTTTTGTTGTGTAAATGAATAAAGATCCAATACTTCCCTAAAAAAAGTTTTTAACTAGAAAGAAACAAGTTAGTGTAAATCTATAAATTACTATAATAAGTCGAAAGTTAGTACATACCTCCGATGATTTCCATGATCGATTATACACAACTATTTGACGTTTTTCCGACGCATTTTCCTCATCCATTTCACTCAACTCCGGTGAATAATATCTGATATCTTGAATGATATTGATCATCTCTTGTTTTTCATAGTGAGCAATTCTCACGTCGTCTTTATCATATAAAGCTTTGGCAGCTTTTAGTCAACGAATTTTTTTCTAAACGCAAAATAACATGGGTAAAACGTTTATATTTAACTAAAAACAACCAAAATTCTTATGTCGTTCATCCTCCCATTTGTGTGTAGATGACGATCGTCACTATTGAGTTTTCCCTTCTTCTTGTAATTATTCTTACTCGTCTAGATTTATGCAATGACATTAGCCATTTCGTCAACTTATCGTAGGTGGAGTTAAAATTTGGCTTTAAGCTCTTCATTAGTTCTGGTATTAATTGTTTTTTTATGTCTACGTTAGTTTTGCTCATAAACGTTTGATCATAGTCCAGGTCAAATTTGGCAGGCATAGTTTTCAAAATGGTCTTCATTTCCATCTAAATTATTAACAGTAATAAAAAATTTGGTAAATATTAGCAC